GATGAGGGAAGTAGAGGCCAGAAACAGAGAATGAGTGGATCAATATCACAAACCCTAAAGCTAAGGCATTGGCATCTCAACTTGGCATTGACATCTGTGTTGAGCTAAGATCTTGACATTTGTTGGCTTGCACATGTGGGGAAGCAGGGCTCCTTAGGAAGTCACAGCAGTGGGAGTCTACAAAGACAAATTCAAGGCCCAAGAAAAGACAGCCATGCTCACACAGGTGTTAGCGAAGCAATGTGGGCCAGGACTCTGGCTGTGAGCAATGTCCTTGTCACTGAATGCAGTGGTAAGATCATGATTGGCCAGAATGGAAGATGCAAGGACCTCAGAGGAGACGCTACTCAAAGCAACAATGTGTGACTGCATTAGAAATGTAGAAGATGACTTGCCTCTTTGAATCTGTCCCTTCACACTGGAATCCTCAGCAAGGAGGACTCTCATCTCAACCAGGAGTGTTCTCATTACTCTTCCTCAGCCTATAGGCAACATCCTCTCACTATCTGGAATCCAAAAGGAGCCAATATTTGATTATGAGCTGTTTCTCTGAAAGAGAGGAGATTTTTCCAAAGCTCACCACATCTTTTAACTTCATCATCGTGGTGCCCAACTGGACGTGCTTGTGGGAAGCCGGTCTGGACAGAACCCACGGGCAGGGGCCATCTGTACTTCACAGGGCTTGAACCCTCAAGTATTGCCTCCTCGGAGTTGACCAACAGGCCTGGATCTGCATCTGGCTTTCTGTTTTGCACACAAAGCCTAATGGCTAAAGTTTCTGGAATGCCCTAGGCAATGCTGAATCAGATGTTTTTTAGCTTCAGTGATTCACAAATTCCAATTTGTAGAACTTTCCAGATAGCTATCTTTTCTCCAGCTGCCTCCAAAATTAACTATTCCCCATCCTTAGTTTCACCTGACATTGAAATGTTGCCTTGAAAGTGATTTGGGGTCATGTCTGTGTCATCACCCCCATCTAGGCTCTGAGAACGTGGCAATGCTCTGTTTTCCTGTGATGGAGTTGCTGTTGCAATGCCTGACCGCAGGCAGCTCCATGCAGCCAGCCTGACTTTCTGTATTACCATATGTCTCCAAGCAATCATTTGGAGCTTGCAACTTCCTAGAAGTGGGGTCCTCTGAGTTGCACCAGCACAGGAGGGACCCCACTGGGGAGTGCATGTGAATACACAGCTCCAAGGGAAGGCATCTTGCCACTGAAGGCCTCCTGCCTTCCCCTCTACTGAGTTCTGGCTCACAGCAGGTGCTCAGAATGGACTCACTTCTCCATCCCATTCCTCTCTAGAGGCCTTAAGAAACCTGAGTCAGTCTATTAATTTCACCTGCTGAGACCATAGCTTTTGAAGCTTACCTTCAGTGGGGGCCTGAGGGAGAGTTGCTCTCCTCTCTGTTCTTGTTTGCAGAGTGCAGCCAGTGTCTCCATTCCTGATGGCTGGTCTGTTCAGTGCCTGCAGGAAAATGTTCTCCCTGTGAATGGAGACAGGATGAGGCTTAGGATCAAGGAGGCTGAGTTGAAGAAGGATCATGCTAAGGGCATAACAGAACGAGTAAGGTCTTGAACCCAGAAACTGCTCAGTTGGTTCTATACTTGCATTGAGCTCCACACTTAACAGTGGGGAGACTGGGGCCCGTTACTTTCACATTGCCAACACTCAGTCTCCTCGTCTACAAAATGGACAGAAGGGAGCTTGAGGAGCCTTCAAAGAAGAGCAGGTTTTTTTTGTGACAAGAAAATCTGCACTTATGGTCTCCATAGAGCTTCTCTCCTGCTCCACATCCATGCCCGATGATGCCATGTATTAAAAACATCCTCTCCATAAATTTAAATAAATTGGCAGTGAATTTCCTTCGTGGAAACATATCCTTATTTCAAATTGCACGTCATGGTATGTAGCTTGTCTGGGGACCACCTGTTGAAGAAGCAGCCATTTCTAATTAAGGATACTCAGAGTTCTGCATGAGCACAGCCAGTCCACACTGGAACGTGGCCACACATGCTTAGCACAGCACTACAGGCCCTGGACCGTAGTTGTCCTCTGCAAGCCACCAAACCAGAAGTTAGCCCTGTAAAGCTCAGTTTGAAGACCCCAGGGCCTTTGAGTAGACTGGTTCCTCTGCTTGGAGTGCTCAGCCTTCGGACACCTAATTCTCCCCAGATGCCTGCACAAAGACCACCTCTGCAGATGCCTTCCCAAACTACTCCTTCCACAAGAGGTCTGCTGCCCTTGAAATCCTCATCTCTACCTCTCTGTGCCTTTCACCACTTAGGACAGTCTGTGCTTTGGAGGGAAAGAGACTGTTTACTTGTTTATTACCGATTTCTCCCACTACACCTAAGTAGCCATGAAATTTATACATTTCCAGAATTCCATATATGTGAACTAATAAATTCCAAATACATGCACTAGAAGTCCCTAGAGTGTTTAAACACATTTCAGCTGGATGGTCTGATATTGCACTTGGTTTTTCAGCTCAAGTGTTCATGAAAAACGTCTTCTCTCTATAGTATTATACTGTGATCTTCCCTGATGTGATCTGTAGGAAATCTCTACGTGAGACCCTCTAGTAGGTACTTTATTGCTTTTAATCTTCACAGTAACTCTGAAAGCTAGGAACTGTTTAATGCCTTTTTACAGAGGAAGAAACGGAGGCCAAAGTGGTCTACTAGCGTGGGTGATAGTTTGTGGGCTCTGTGTGTCTTCCTTGGCAGGGGCTGTCGAGCCATTATCCAAGCACATCCAAGGTGGGTGCAGGTTCTAGGCCAGCCAATCAGAGCATCTCTCCACCTAGACTCTGACTGGGCCAGAGGAGACACGTGGCCCCAGAATGGCCAATCACAGTCCTGGGATCACATGCTAAAGACTGTCGTAACCGCAATACTCCAGTAGCTGTCTTGCAGCGGACGGGCAGTGTCTGCCTATGAATGAAAACCACATCGAGTGAGGGGAAGTGAAAAGAGGCCAGTGACGTCACTTGAGCCCCTGGATCCTGGATCCAGCTGTGCCTGAGACTTAACTCCTGGAGCTTCTCGGTGACATGAAGCAATAAATCCATCTTGTTACTTACATTGGTCTAAGTTAGGTCTCTGCAGAAGCTCAAAAGATGCTAGTTCTCTCAAGTTCCTTCTAAAAATGAACACTCAATTCATTTTGCCAAACTCAGTTCACATGTCAGTTTGAGACGTGGGATCTTTGCCACCCCAGGTACCCCTTTTCACTCACCACCCCCTTCTATGTTACACTTGGTCCGGCCTCAAGGTCAGGGACATGCTATTTCCCTCTCCCACCCTGCAGAGTTGTGTCTTTCCGAGGAAGCTTACTTCGAAGTAACCTTCCCCTTCATCCCTTACCCTGCAAATGACTGATAGCCCTATTTGCTAATATTGGCAGAGAGCACCATAAGAATTAAGAACAGGCCAGACAGGCGCCTAACAAGTATCCTATTTTAAAAGTCAGCGAATATTGCCCTGTACAGAAAAACTATAGTTTCCCATTCATACTGGACTTTACACTCTAAGTAACATCGCAGAAATTCGCATTTCTTTTTCACTACTCTGTTCTAGTTGGGTAAGGTGACAATTAACACACCCCTCAGACACAGGAGAAAACTCATATGGGGTGAACAATTCAGTTTAATAGCAAATATCAAACTGGAACTGGATTCTCTCTAGCTAGAGTCACGGTCATCCATGTCCTTTACCCAATCAGTTTAGCCAGTTAAATCCCAATTAAGGTTGCCAGAGAAAATATTTCAAATGAAATTTACATTTCCATCAAATAATGACTTTTAAAGTATCAGCATCACCCAAATAGGGCAAAGGACAAATCTACAATTTAAAAAAAAACTCCTTGTTTAACTAGGGTGTAGTTTTATTTGCTAAATGTGAATTAGATGTTCTGCTAAACCAGATAAAGGATAAAAGTCATAATTTCCTTGGAAATTTCTTAATTTCCCACATGGGCTCCCAGTTTTTTTGCAGTGGTGCATGCTCCTAATATCTGATAGGAGGAGAGGGTTTGATGTCTCACGGTATTATGGTCAGGGTCCAGGAATTCCCCAGTCTTAAACCTGCTCTTTGTCCCTCTTCCCAAGAGCATCCTGGAAGATCTGCTCGTTCCAGAAACAGTGGCAAAAATGGGACTTGAGATGCTACTACAGGCAAAGCAGTGGCCTATCCCACCACGGACCTAGAACCCTCTGCAATCCGATCAGTCATGTGGCGGCCCGTGGGGTAGAGGGGTTACCCTGGGCAGGCAGCTGAATGGTAGGGAGAGGGCGTGGCTGAGTGTTACCCTTGAAGCTGTCTCTAAGCCTCATGGAAGGCAGTCACCTCTTGAAAATTAGGGCTGAGAGCATATCCACTTGGAAGTGAGGGGTCAGCAGAGGAGGGGTGACAAGACCGGAAAGGGGAAAGCTTGGCTGCAAGAGGAGAAGACAGCTGAAACGCAAAGAGAGGACATGGGTGTCCTGGGTCCTTCTTTCCCAGATCCTGGTTCCAGCTGAAAGGCCACCTGCATTTCCTCGTCTGAGAATATTAAGTAGATTCTCCTTTTGTGCTTGGGTGGGTTTCAGTTACTCATACCTCTACTGTCACTTAAATAAGAGAAAAACAGCCAAATAAAGAAGCAAGGTCCCAGTTCAATTCAGTTCATTGCAATTTATTTAATTTAAAAATAAAAAACAGAAACAAAACAAAACAAAAATCAGCTTCCAATGAAAATACGAACACTTTGGGTGGCTATCCAGCATTTTTTTTTTTTTTTTAAGTTTTCCCTGTAGGCTGTTTTGGGCTCAAACCAATCAAAGGAGTGAAAACCAATTTTGACTGGAGACATAAAGCATGATGCACCAATTAAATTACACCAATATATTATTATAATACCTTTGAAATGCCTTTCAGACCAATAAATAAAAAAAGACAAATTCAAATAAAAAAGTCAACTTTTTATTACAAAAAAAATAGAAATTAAATTAAAGTCACAACACGGATTTAAAAAAAAAAATGTGCAGTCAAGTTTCTCTTTCTCTTTTTTTTCTTCTAGGAATGATACCATGCCAGTAAATCCCTACAGAACATTTCCAGTTTGGCAATAAGCAGTCAGTCGATCATTCACATTTGTACTCAAGACAGCAGGCCTGGGTAACGTCCACCGAATCACCCTGAAAAGTGCTCCCATCCTCTGAACAGCAGCACCTAGTAACAGACTGGATATTCAGAGGACTTGGCATTTTCATTTTGCCTGGGGTCTTGAAGCACTTCCTGAAAACTGATCATGCCTTGAAATTTACCTGTAAAAAGTAGTATAATTCTACTCCTTTGGCAACTGTGTAAACTAAGACACCAAAAGACCCACAGAGACAGGAAAGGACCAGGAGAGCTGATCTGGGATCTCCTGTTTGGTCCACCAGGTCATGTAAGTGTCTCTCACTTGTAATTCCGTGGAAATGAATCAAGCCTGACTTCCTCGGCTGGGGACTGGCTGGTAGGGAGGACAGGACATTGGCTGGTAGGGAGGACAGGACATCATCAGGAAGCAGGGGAGCTGCTTTTCACAACTTTTCCCTCCATTCCAAGATTTTCCTTGAAAGGACACAGTCAACACAAAATCTAGAATCAGAGGGTGTTGTAGAATACTGAACTAGGGTATGGGAGATGAAATAACCCACCCTCCAGTCTTCACTAAAGGGAAAACAGTCCCCCCCCCAACCCCCGACACTGACGGTTCCTATGGGACTCAACTCAGGATCTCAGCCTCTGCCTAGCAGACTCTCATGACCAAATCCATTGTACGAGTTATGGACAAAAGAGAATACACGTGTGTTTGGGGCGAGGGGGAAGGAAGTAGAATGATTTTCCTTAACATTATTACCCTTGGATTAGAAGAATGGAAATAGTAAACAGATGGAATCACTTGGCAGAAGGATAAAAACATCCACCAGGAGGTAGGTATGATCCCAAGGTCTCCTGAGAGTGCCCACACAGGACAGCAGCCACGCGTGAGGACCAGCGGTGCAGCTGTCCAGCTGTCCAGAGAAGATTCCAGAAAAGGTCACAAAAAATGAGACAAGAAATAGAGGTTCAGAATCACTTCCGTGTACCCAAACACCCCACACCATTTGCCATCCGTAAAATTTTCTCTTCTGAGCCTACATGGGAGTGAAGGAAGGAGGTGGGATGGAATGAAAGGAAATGGAGAAGCTTCCTTGCTCAACCCTCTCTGGCTACATAAACCAAAGCCAGCGCCTGTAGCCATCTCCCCTGGGAACAGCTGTTTCTGCTCAGTGTTCTTGGTGCCTTAAGGTGAATTCTTAAGGTGAACTATATAGTATCTGTTAGTTTTTCCAAAAACAGCCCCAAGGCTAGTCTCCTGATATACCTGGGTGGTCGTGAGAAGTCAGCCATGTTGAAACAAAGGTTTTGACTTGCCCAAGTGAGTCACCCCAAATTTCCAAGGTAAGACCACTAATCCCAAATCCAGTATCTGAACTGAAGCTGTCCCATGTGGGAGTGAGTCCATGTGTCCTGTCACCTGGGTGCTCAGAAGGCAAATGCCTAGTTTATTTTATAAGCTAGGAGCCTGTCACCCCCATTTTTCTGCCACCACCAAAACCATTTGGATGATTTCTCAGGAAACATTTTCTCTTCTGGATGCTTCCTCCCAACCCACTCAGATCTTTCCCCACCTTCTTCGTTCGAATAGATAGGACCTTCTTTTCACCAAAACCGTAGGCCTTCAAAACCACAACTCAGAACACCTATTTGGAAAAGCACCTTCTGCCTGACCTCCCTTTCCTCATCCTCATATCTCACCTACTCACTAACTCCCTAGAAACAAGCTCCCCTACCTCTGAGGAACCTACCCCGATGGACAGGGAAAACATATGCTATTAGTAAACAGGGCAAATGGCTGAGGCAGTTATTCCTTTGTAGATTATAGACAGTATCGCATCCAATTCCCAGATTCAAGCAGGCAAGAACCCAAGAGGCAGCATTCCAGTTAATATTGAGACATTAAAGAAATTGACAAGTTGCCCCCATTGGCTGCTGTGGGTCAACTTCCATTCATCTGCGCAAACACGACAAGGGGTCACAAGCCCCACAATTCATCATAGGTTTGACCTCTGACACCACTGTCTTTTTCCCTGTCCAATCTCAGGAGGTTGCACTGAAGACAGCAAGAAGCGCTGCTTTCAAAACTCACCATGGGCTGACTCTATGTTCCTGATCAGTCTTATCTCTGACCATTCAAAGGATAGTATCAAATGAACAAATGCCCCCCTAGCGGCATGAGTTAATGCAGAGCGCACGGGATGCCTTAGCCCAACCCAGGATTTATCCAGGGCAAGGGTGGAAACTACCTGGTGTGAGTGCTTCTGCCACTCCCGTCCCACCTCCATGGCAGCCATTACTAATCAATCACAGCACTCCTTCCCTATGCTCAAATCAGCACCCCCAGCAGCCATCAGCAATCAATCGCCAACTCAAGATCTGAAACCCATGGCCAACCCAATGGTTCAAACTTGCTGTGAGCACAGGAGAGCTCTTCAAGCTCGCTCAAAGCAGATGGCCCTGTCTATCTGACAGTGCTCCCTCTCCCATCTGCTTCAAGCCTCCAAATGCTGGCCAATTCCTCCCTTGGACAGCTGGTGGTGATGCCATACAACAAATGCCAATTAGGACCCAAATTCTGACTGGCAGTTGGCAGGACTGGCAGAGCGCCCACTTTCCCTTTTAGGTGCTGACTCAAGACGGCCAGCTGGGCCAAGCAAGACAGCACCCATCCCTTATCAGTCTATTTTCATGACCAACAAAGAGGTAACCAGCTCATTAGCGAAGTCTTTGCTCCCACTCCTCCCTCTACCCACCCTCACCCCACCCTGCCCCGGGAGCTAGTTGAGCTTGCTGCAGATCTCCAGGGCTTTCTTGTAGACCTGAGTCACATCATCCATGTCCGTAAGGAGGGAGAAGCTGCTGTCTCCCAGCCGGTTCCGGTACCGCTTCAGGTACTGGGGCCGGGGCCGGTTCTGGAGTCCCTCAAAGTCCTGGATCTGGAGGAAGTTTTCTGCAGAGACGCAGCTGCGGATGCGCTGGCGGGCGGGGCGATTCTCCTGCAAATCCAGCAAGTCGAAGGAGTCGCTGGACAAGACACTGTCATCGCTGACCACGCTGGAAGGCCGGCTGTAGCTCCGGTTCAGGCCCTCCGCGGGGACGCCGGGCTCCAGCAACGACGCCAGCGAGGGCCCGTCGGGGCTGGTGAGCGCCGGGTCCAGGGTCCCTGCGGAGTACTTGCTGCTGTGTTTCAAGATGCCCTTCCGGCGGCAGGAGAGGCTGTGGACGGTCGGCCTGGCCGGGTCCGGGGGGCTGGGGGAAGGGAGGCTGCTCCCCAGGCCATCATTACTGTCCAACAGCTCGGAAGACTCGCTGCGCTCTGGGGAAGAGTAGTAGCCCGACTCTCTCTGCTGGGTCTTTTTCAAGATGCCCTTCTTGGGCATCGTGGCTGACTGTTTGGGGCTGAGCTTGCCAGGGGCGTCCGCCTCCGGGGAGCTGGGGAGGGGCCCGGCAGTCCGATACAAGTCCTGCTCCATCTTGAAAGCAGAGGGCAGGGGGGAACCGACGACGCCCTCGATGAAGCCGGTGCTGTGCGAGCGATGCTCGCTGTTGCTCCGCTTCTTCAGAATTCCTTTGGGCCTCTTGGAAGCCAGCTTGGACGGGCTTTCCGGCACCGAGTCCTGGCCGGACTGGGCAAAGTCATTCTCTTTCTTGGACTTCTTCAGCGAGCGCTGCCGCTCCAGCATGACCTCGGCGGGGCCGGGTTTGGCCAGGGCCTTCATTTTCGCTTCCGCCTCAGCCTGAAGCCCAGTGGACCGGTGATGCCAGTCGATAATGCGAGCCAGGAGCGGGGACTCGGAGCTGTGCAGGGCGTCACAGTCGCAGACGCTGCTCTTGTAGCCCCAGTTCACCCACCAGTGGTTGGCAATGTCCTCGATGGTGGCCCTGCGGTCGGGGTTCACCATCAGCATCCACCGAATGAGTCCTCGGGCGTCTGCGGGGCAAGAAGCAAAAGGAAGACGGGTTAGCTGGTGCTTGGGGCTTCGTGGCCGGGCTGAGACCCCGGGAGCGGCTACGACACTCTCACCGGAGGAAAATCCAACGTGAGCCTTGGCCCCGCCACGCGATGGGGCAGTGGCCCCGCGTTCCAGCATGTCCATGAAAAGCGTCCCCGGCACTCAGCCAGGCCAGTGCGCTCTCACTCTGTATGTTTTTGTGTATGAAGAAAGGGATGTCATGGAGCTGCGGCACTTGCTCTCAACTCATCTTTAAAAATGGGGACCAGCCCTCCCTGGTGGCGCAGCGGGTTAGAGCACAGCACTAAGAAGCTAAAGCCACTTCCGCATGAGTTCGATTGCCGCCTGCCCCAGAGGAGCTCCACATGGCGTGGCAGACCTCTCCTGATCCGCCCGCTGCTCCCCTCAGCAGTGTATTTTGGTCATCCGCCTGTTCTGCTCGCCACTGTCTCTGGTGAATCCTCTCACCCTCCGCATCTCTGGCCTGTACCCCAGTTCTGTATGAATAAATAAATCTTTAAAAAAATAAATAAAAATAAAAATGGGGACCATCTGGTGATGGCACATGGGTGATTTGGTGATGGGAAACCCAAGGGGATTGCAACTGAGATGGAAAAATGCACAAAATATGTAAAAAATAAACTATTATAAAATTTTTTTAAAAATGGGGACCATCAGGTCCTCCCTGGTGGCGCAACGGGCTAAAGTACAGCACCCTGAACCTCGCTGCTGCTGCTTTACCGCCTGCATCCCCCACCTCCCGGCCCCACCCCTGTCCTGGAGCTGACCCACATGGCGCGGCAGACCTCTCCTGACCCTCCTGCTGCTCCCCTCAGCAGGGTACTTCGTTATCTGCCTGTTCTGCTCCCCACTCTGTCTCTGGTAAATCCTCTCATGACCCCTGCACCTCTGGCCTGTACCCCAGTTCTGAATGCACAAATAAATCTTTTTTTCAAAAATGGGTACCATCAGCTAAGCGGGAAAGAATCCCGACCCGACCCGGAGCAGGACCCCAATGTTCCCCGATGACTATTATTTTACAGAAAGGGGAAACAGGTGTAGGTTACCCTGATGTCCTGCAAACACTCAGCACCACCATCTCGGGAAAGTGGCAGCACAAAAAGGAAATTTGGGACTGAGCCGTCCAGAAAGGCCTCCTCACCGGAGGGGCAGGCGGAGAAAGACGCACCTGGGCGGAAGAAGGGCCGCCCCAAAGCTGGCCTCACCCCGCGCCTTGGCAGGTTCCGAGACCCACACCCAGTGAGCTCACCCACTCCCCTCTCTGACGCCAGGCACGCCGGCTGAGCTCTCAGACCAGAGCGAGCTCCATCTGCATCCCTTTACAGCCTGTCCGAAAAATTCCACACAAATGTCTGCTGCCAGAAAACGAGGGGAGAGCCCCAAGGGGGCTCTAAGGAGGCTACAGGCACCAGCTGACTCTCGCAGCTTCTAAGTTGACTTTTAAGACCAAACTGTGCTCTCCCAATGGGGGTTGAATTATATCCTGGGAAATGAGACCTTCCCTTAGCCTCTTAATAACTAATGAGTAGCTCAAAAGGGCCTAGCAATGGGGCTTGAGTGAGCTGCACCACTAGCTGCTAGCGTCCCTGAGTGCAGGAGGCTGTGGTGCGCAGCGGAGAGAGCACACAGGTGCTAGGCAGGCTCCACTCAGGCGTGGCCATCGTGCTGTGGGCCAGGAATTCAGTGGGTCGAAAAAATAACTTAAAGGAGGTGACTTTACACCGAAGTGCACCTGTAACAAGATCATACATGCATCAGTTGACAACCATCTTGGGATAAGGTCGCAGGAGTCTGCTCCTGTTTCCCCAGGATCAATGCCTCAGTAGTCACCCTGTGCTGACTCGTTCTTAGCAACGTTAGCGAGCGCAACCATCACAACCCCTGACAGCCTGCGTGTGTGGGATGTGTGTGAAGGACGTACATCCTTTACGTGTCTGTGTTAACTGCTCTCCAAGGCTAGCACCTCTTTCCAACGTTACATGATGCTCCCTCCTCAAGAGATGGAACTTACTGTCTCGGTTGTTTCAACCAACAGAACAAGGTGAAAGGGATGTTATCTGGCTCCCAAGCACCTACTAGGAAGACTGGCAACATCTTTTCCTTCCTTCGTGCCCTGAGCTGCCATGTCAGAAGTCCAGGCTTCCTCCAGGAGAGAGACCCACAAAGAGGAGCACCCCAATAACCCGCAGTTCCAGCAGAAAGCCCAGGAGAAGTCAGAAGGGCTGGCTGGAGCCGCTGCAGGGACCATAGCTCCTGGGTGTTTAAAGCCTCTAAGAGTTCATTTTGGGGATGGGACAGAGTTGTTACTCGGCAATGAAACAGTGCTGCGTGCTGTTTCCTTGGCAGGGGACACAGGAGCGTCAAAGAACAGCTCCCACCTCCACCTCCATGGCGCTTGGACTCCGCAGTCAGGATGGTTTGGGCGACTGTAGGGGCTGGGAGGAATATCATGTCCTATCTTTTCCAGAATTTTAATTTATATTGGAGAAATTGAATTCAAATAGAAAAAAGGGACTTGGCCAAATTCAGCAAGCACATAGGACCAAGAGCCTCCTTCTGTGTTAAAGAACTTCGGAAATTTTCATTGGGGGATGTTTGTGTACAGGAGGCATAACTAGCCAGCTCTGCAAGAAGGCAAAGATTTGGAGAGAAGAACAAGGAAAAACAAGCGCCTCTTTGTAGACACTGGCACAAAAGCAGGCGTGTGAGCAGGTAAGGCGGCCACCCCCCTGGGGCCTGGCCCTTGGAAACCCAACCCACCTGAGGGCTGCGTGGGCTCCTGGTACTCTCCACTGCTGATCTGCCGGATGAGGTTTTTGTGATCAAAGCCATCGAAGGGCATCGTTCCATAAACGAGGGTGTAAAGCAACACGCCCAGGGCCCAGCTGTCCACCTGCAGCAGAGAGACAGGACATTGAGGAGCTGGGAAAGCCAGGGTGTCTCCCAAACCATTAGCATCACAGCCCGCGACCCCAAGACCTGAATTCAGGGCAGCCAGCCTCCCCCCGCCCCCCACAGCAGCCTGGCAAGTGATGGGCCACGCGGCTGGGACCCGCCTAGGGTCTGACCTGTCTGTCTCAAACTGTTCGCCAACAGTCCCAACCTACAGACTCTCCAAACTGAGAACCAAACAAAAAAGATGTTCTCAAACAGATGATCAGGCGGGAAATCCAAGTGCTTACAAGAGCCAGGCAGACAACAAACACCAGCAAAGCCAGAGAGGTGGTGGGGTGCATCATGGAGCGCTGGGGACAGCGTGCATTCACCCTGGGCACCCCACTCTGCCAGCTGCCGCCTCCAGCCTGGTGAGGTCCTTCGGTCTCTTGGGAAAAGCCTCAAGTCAGGCTTTTAGGTGAGATGCCCCAACTATTGAAAAGTCTGTTTTGATTTTTAGCTTTGACTTGTTGTTTTTGTCTTCCAAAATGACTGGGAGTTTGCTTGCTCCCCTGATGACAGGCCGCCAGCTTGTAACCTTGGAAACCGGTATAGATGAGAGGAGCGCTCGTCTCTGGTCAATTGACAGTGGCAGTTTCTACAATTCTGTAAATCGAATCCGGTGTTTCTCCCTCGCTTTCCTGTTTTAGGAAGACCTTCTCTTCACGGGGCTCTTGGCTTCCCTCTCTAAACCCTCGGGCCTGCCCCCAAACACTCTTAAACAGAGACACACTCGGAAAGAAGCATGGAGTGACTGACTTAAAGGACAGTGAGTGAATGAATCTCTGTAAAGAGAATCATCTTTTTAAAGGAAAACAATCAGTCTCAACTCACCAGTTCTCAAAATAACATTTTCTCATACTTATGTAAGAAGTGAATTTTCCATGAATTACAAGATGCGATTAAAATGTACATCCATGATCAAAAGGGATGCAAAATGATATTCACTGCTCGGGTTTTTTTGTTTTGTTTTTTTCTAGTTTGTTTTTGTTTTGTCCAATTTGTTATAACAGGAAAAAAAAAAAAAACCAGAAACTATCTAGGGCTGGAGAAGTGATGTATTCATCCAACGAACCATTATGTCGCCATTGAAAGCCATGTTTTTAGTAGTAGTGATTTAGGAAAGTATCACAGCATATCTTAGGGATCTACACTCACAAAAAGTTTTAAAACTCACAAAATACATTAACTGGTTATCACTTTTGGGGGATTACAGGCAACTTTATTTTCTTTAAGATTTTGTGGATTTTTAAAACTTTTCTCCCAGGTGTGTCTGTTAGGCCTTGAATAATCACATAAGGAAAAGGGGTTTGTATTTGCTTGCTTTCAAAAAAAAAATTTTTCAGGATCCATGTCTCACCCTCCTGGCCTTTTCTCTCCCCCAAGCTCTCTGTCACACACACACACTCTCACTCCAGAAAACCCACTCACCTCTGGTCCTCGGTAAGGCCTGCCATTGACAATTTCCGGAGAAGCATAGAGTGGACTCCCACAAAATGTTTGCAAGAACTTGTCCTTCTGATACAGGTTGGAAAGGCCAAAGTCAGCAATCTACAAAGAGAAGAAGGATACAGGGGGCTTGTTAGGGTTCCCTCAAATGCCTGCACTCAATCAACTCACACCACCCAGCACTGGGCACCTGAGGGTCCCTGGGTGGGTTTGCCAGCCGGGTCGCCTTTTCCTCTCCAGCCCAGAGTCTTCACACGCGGACCAGTGAGGACCCCTGTCCAGTGCCACCAGCTGCAGCCCTTAGTGTCCACCACAGGCGTGTGTCTCTGCACACTTCACTGTTACACAAGGTGACTCCTTTCTTGGGCTCTGGATTTGAACTTCAATATCAACTTGCCCTCAGAATTGCCCTATAAAACTACATGCTTGATGCTTGTGATGAACAGTAAGTGCGTAACTATTCATTTGGAATTTGTCCATCCATGGCCCTGTTTGTCTCCACGGAGCTGTCTGTACCATGGCACGGGACGCCATGACGTGGGCCCCTGACGACATCACATTGTTTCCACCCGCCCTCATGTCGGGACTGTGCTGTGCCTGCCCCGTGGCCCACAGTGAAGTGGATTCAGAACACTGGGCTGTGAGTCATTATCTCCCAGCCTGATCTCTGCCCCCAGACATCTGTATGACATGAAGAAGGTCACTGAGTGGCTCAGCCTCAGCTTACCCGCCAAAATATGGGAGCCTAAGACTCCTGCCCTGCTCCAGGCCACGGAAACAGAACAATAAGGAGAAGATCGATCATAATGAAACCATGAATGTGAATGTCTTTTATGACCTTCAAGCTCCTTGCAAACTTTTCCCTTCATCTGGCTTCTGTTGCATTGCTCATCCCTGGAAACCCTCTTCTCCTGAAGTGTCTAACTTGTTGTACTTGACGGGAGCACACTTCCCTCTGTATATATAAACTTACAGATATATCAAGCCTATTATTAAGATAGGTAGTCATATTTTGAAAAGCACAAGATAATTAACAGAAGCTTCAAATTTTTACTAGTCACCACTGACTGAGCAACCTCCCGTCATCAAGTCCTGTTCGCTACTCTCTCAAGCAGTCCTTCCTGCAATCTACTAATACAACAACGTCACTGTCCTTGATGCCACTGAACTGGGCACCTAAAAACCAGTTAGATGGTCACTGTGATACTGGGGATATTTCATGACAGTTTTTGGACCATTTAACAGGTGGAGAAACTGAGGCTTAGGGAGACCAGGCCATTCACCGCCCGCCACAGGGTTATCAGCCAGGTCAGCCCGCTCTCGAAAGCTCCCAACCGCATTGCACGGTGCCTGAGGATGTTCATGCTTCAATGCACCCCTGCCAGTCTGTGGGCAGCACCCCCAGACCTCGGCCACCCCCATGATGACTTCTATTTAGGCCTATAAATAGGCTGAGCGCTTCACACGCCCGGACGGCAGCCCAGCCGTGAGGCTGAGGTTCTGCTCAATGCAGTCCCCAGAACAAGCTTATTTTGCAAAAGCCTTCCCTGAATGAATGGAATGTCACTGAGAGCTGAGGCACTTCTGCCCTCTGAAAACACACGCTCCAAAAACGGCCTTCTTGGAGCTCACATGGCACTTAATTGCCCTGAATTCCATTTTCTTATCAAGGCCCCTGGCTGGCTGGCAGGAAGCTGGTTGGAAGCTCATGAAGTGTGCCCTGTCAATCAGCAGAGGGACAGAAGGGTTGCAGCCGGACATGCTCAGAAGCCATGCTAAGTCCTCTCCTCACAGCTAAGCAGGAAGCCACAGGAGAGCGTGTCCTAAGGCAAAACATGCCCTACCTACCCCTTCAATGTTTGTGGAGTCTGGAGGCTGCATGACCTTACACACACACACACACACACACACACACACACACACACACACGTGTGAGCACACACGAGACGCCCTCGAACAGCACATGAGAATGCCACTTGCATGCACTCCCTCCGGGCGTCCCCCAAGCCTGCGGGTCCCTGTTTTCTTTGCAGCCGTTCTGCGAAGCGAGGAAGTGAGTTTATGTTATGCCCACTCCCACCCTCCCAGACGGATGTTTATAGGCCTCTCCCGTAAAACTGTCATTGCAACTGACATGAGATTAATAGAAATCTAGCTTGGTCCCTGTTCTTGGCACTTGAATGGAAAAGCAGTGTTAACCAACATGTGCACGTAGCTCCCCAAATATGAGCCACTTACATGCGGGCCTTGGTTCTAAGATTTACCGCCCTCTGGAAGTTAATCGACTGTCAAGGGAGACAGCCTCAGTTGTGAGACCCTCAGAAGCCACCGCCTCCTCATCTCAGGCAGGCTGGCCAAATGGGCCACGGAGAAGATTAATGTACCAAAAGCGTGAAAGATGCTTCGGACAGCAGTGGGCACAGAGTGGAAGGCCCATAAATATTTGCTTTCCACTTTGTACATCCAGAGAGGTAACTTTATTAATGTCATGATACTCAAAACAGGTCTTTCCCCGACATCAGCTGTGAAGGAAAACGTGGAGGTTCCAAACTGGGAATTAAATTACTCTGAACAGATAAATGAAGAAACCGTCCCGTTCTCCATTCTCTATCAGGCCTTCACATTAAATCAACGAGAGCCTCCGTGGGGACTGGTGTGTCCCTGGCATCTCCACACTCATGGGAATAAATCCTGGTTCACAGCCTGCCGCAGCCTCGAGCCAGAGCTGAAGAAAGCTATTTGGCTCCTGTTACAATATTTTTTCGTTTATCTTCTACTGATGGCAAAGGATGCTGCATTTCCACTAAGGTGATCATGTAGCTTTCTTTCTCAAATAAATACAAGTTTTAAAAGTGAATTAAATTCATAAAAATTACTAAGTAAATGAACACCAAAGATACTAAGCAAAAGTAGTGCGTGAAGGAGGGAAAGAGCTGAAACTTGGGAGATAGTGATCTTAAACATTGTAAAACAAGGTAACCGAGTCCCAGAATTGGTGGATATGAATAAACACTGAGACGAGCTAATCCTGCCCCCTGCACTCTTTGGGAGTGCGACAGAAGGTAGGTTGGAAGGCTGAAGCAGCTTTGCTGGAATCACAGAGCCCAGAGCCAGACCTGCGCCGGAGGGTCTCGCCTGAGGGTCCCACCTGCAGATACCTGTGCCAGGGTGCAGGAGAATGGGGCAGGTGGAGTGACTCCAGCAGGGAGCGACTGGGCTTTGCTTTGAAGGTCCAATTTGGCTGACACTCTGGCAACAAACTTCGCAGGAAAGCAACTACCTCATTTTGCCCCTTCCCGAGCTGGTTCTGCACCAGCCTCTGGCCCTGCACGGTTCAGCTGGGACTCTGAAAAGGAGCCGCGGCTATCAGCGCCTGTGTCCTTCCTTGTTGGAGACTTTGTTGTGACCAGGTCCTTCTCAAGGCACACCCTGCTGCGTGAAAATCAGAGTCGGGAAGAATCATTCCCACTGCAAATGGATTCAGGCCCTATCACATGGGTGAACCTTGAAGATGTTACACAAAGTGAAACAAGTCAGACCCAAAGGGACAGACAGTCTTTGTTCCACTGACATGCAGAACCAAGATCAGTCAAGTTCACAGAGACAGAGGGACAGTGGTGGTTCCAGGGGCTGCGGGGAGGGGGAAAGGTGGGGAGGGGCTTCTTAATAAGTACAGAGTTTCCACTATATACTCTGGCTGAACCATGTGATGCAAAAGTTCTAGAGGGGTGGTGATACGATTGCACAACAATGTGAATGTACTTCATGCCACTGAATCATACGTCTAAAAATGGTAAATCCTGTGTTACATTTTTTTTAACTGGCATATAAAAAAAAGCTGACGCTCAGATCACAGTGAATAATCACAGTGAGCTCACCGGATGAACACGGAGGATCAGATTACTGAGAAAGGATGCAGGTGACAATGAGAACATGAGTGATGGCCCACAGTCACCTGCAATACCTAAGAGGATGTCGGGCGGATGGAACACACTGGTGGTTTGGCAAGCCAGAAGAGCCTGGGCTGACCTTGGGCCAGGCACAGTTAGGTCATGGGTGGCACCAGCCATGTCACTCAGTTTCCTCCTCTGCAAAATGGGAATAACAATTCGACATCATCAAGGTGCTTTAAGGGTTGAAAGAACATCCACATGAAGCCCTGCAGTAGTTCTGTTACTGGCTGGCTATCAATGACAGCGGGGGTAAGATGCCGAGTCTGGCTGGCCACGCCCATGGGACCACGCCAACCGGGAGCCATGCCCAACCCACCGGGAGCCATGCCCATCAGGAGCCACGCCCATCAGGGAGCAGAGGGAAATTATCATCTATTTCTGAAATCAGCATGTCCAGCAGGAAGGGCTGCACGGCATGATGGGAAAAGCGAGGGATGCATGGCTTGAGTATTTGAGTCCAAGTCCCAGCCTCATTTCTTAGGGATTAGCATACTAGCTAACCCCTCCTGCTCTCTGAGAACCCTGGACCAGCAGTGTCATCACCAGTCAGGGCACGGTGTTAGCTAAGAATCTCAGGCCCCACCTCCTGGGGCAGAGTCCAAACGTTAACAAGATGCCCAGGGGGGCTCGTTCCCCTTAGTCATGCTGAGTCATGGTTTCTCCATCTGTAACATGGGGATAATACTAATGGAAGCCACCTCCAAGGGCTGATAAAGCAGCAAATGAGCTGATAATTAGCAAGTGCTTGACCCAGGCTTCCTTCAATGTGAGCAATTACCACTCAACCTCTCTGTTTCCACTGTCACTGGGAAAAAACCCACCAATGGAGCCCACCAGTGTTCAAACCGAAGTCAGGTAAATGAAGGGATGATGATGATGATGTGATGATGTAACAGCCACACTGCTACGTGCCAGTGGCTATTCTGCGTGCTCCATTTCATGGATTCAATCCTTACCTCAGCCCTCTGAGGAAGGTATCATTATTCTCCCCACTTTACAGAAGAGGAAACTGAGGCACAGGGCAGCACAGCGGCTGGCCTGTGACATGTGAAGCCCGGCCTTGGCCATAAAGCTCTGGAGAAAGGCAACTACTGTCAGTTGCCTTTGAGACGCTCTTCAGGAAGTCAGGACCCCACTAAGGAAGACACA